CTGTCACCGTGTCACCCTGTCACACTGTCACACTGTCACACTGTCACCGTGTCACACTGTCACCCTGTCACACTGTCACCGTTTCACCGGGGCACTGTGTCACTGTGTCACTGTGTCACCCTGTCCCCGTGTGCAGGAACGGCTCCGTGCGGATCTGCTCCCTGGGCACAGACACTGTGTCACACTGTCACCCTGGCACCATGTCACACTGTCACCGTGTCACACTGTCACCCTGGTCCCAGTGTGTCCATGTCACGCTGTTCCAGTGCCACCGTGTCCTCACTGTCACCCTGGCCCAGTATCACCCTATCCCAGTGTCACCTCATCATCCTGTCCCCAGTGTCACCACCACTGTGTGAGCTCGTCCTCACTGTCCCCACTGTCACTGTCCCTGTGTCACCATGTCCCCAGTGTCACCGTGTCACCCTGTCCTCAGTGTCCCTGTGTCAGCCTGTCCCCAGTGTCACCGCTGCCACTACCGCCACTGCATCTCTGTGGCCCCGGGACCCCAGCCCTGCTCCCACATCCCCCCACCCCTGGTGTCCCCTGTCCCCATCCTGCCACCCCTGCTGCCCCCTGTCCCATCTCCAGTGTTCCCTGTCCCCATCCCCACTGTCCCTGCTGTCCCCACTGTCCCCACTGTCCCCACTCTCCCATCCCCGCTGTCCCCAGCGTCCCCTGTCCCATCTCCAGTGTCCCCTGTCCCCCATTCCCATTGTCTCCTGTCCCCTGTCCCCATCCCCACTGTCCCTGCTGTCCCCAGTGTCCCCTGTCCCCACTGTCCCCATCCTCCCATCCCCGCTGTCCCCAGTGTCCCCTGTCCCATCTCCAGTGTCCCCTGCCCCATCCCCAGTGTCCCCAGTCCCCATCCCTGCCGTCCCCATCCCCGCTGTCCCCGCTGTCCCATGCCCCCATCCCCGCTGTCCCCAGTGTCCCATGTCCCGCTGTCCCCTGTCCCCGCTGTCCCCTGTCCCGCTGTCCCCGCTGTCCCGCTGTCCCCTGTCCTGCTGTCCCCGCTGTCCCGCTGTCCCCTGTCCCCGTTGTCCCCTGTCCCGCTGTCCCGCTGTCCCCTGTCCCCGCTGTCCCCTGTCCCTGCTGTCCCCTGTCCCCTGTCCCCTGTCCCTTGTCCCCGCTGTCCCCTGTCCCCGCTGTCCCCGCTGTCCCCTGTCCCCTGTCCCCGCTGTCCCCCGTAGCTCACGGGGCGAAGCCCTGGGCGCCGAGCGCGTCCCGGCAGCGCCGCTCCAGCTCGCGGAGGCGCGCCTCGAGCCGCGGGAACGCGGCGGGGCCGTACGGGAGCGCGCACGGCTCCTGCTCCTCCTGCACCG